GATAACAACTGGTCTTTCTCATCAGCTACGGCGACAGAAGTACACGATAGGGCACCTTTAAGCGACCCTGCAGATATGAATACTGGCCGACATAATGCACCTGACTGGTCGTGGCCAACAAGTATCCCTCCGGCCTCCGCTAATCCTGAGATGTCACATTTCACGTTTAACGAAGATCGTGGTTTTGACAATGGCTTTGAACGTCCCCGACTCCAACACCACCCTACCGAGCCCATGCTACCATCGCAGGGTTATGATATGCAAAGTACGAGCGGACCATCAAATGATCGCATGTCCATGGCCAGCTTGATAGACCTTGATATGAGCATGCCCGAGCCTAACTACCCAGAGTTCACACGCCCGTCTACCGCTAACTCAGACATCGCATCCATCGCTGGCTCCGAAATTGGCACCCGTGAGCCCTTTGAGCTCGAGCGCCACGCCTCCGTCTATGCCCCCGCCAACTTCACCAGTCGTGAGCCATCCATCTATGTGTCTGACGGCTCCGAGTTTTCCGCCCGAATAGCTAGCAAGATCACCGAGGAAGATGAAGTGTCTGAATCTAACGTCCTAAACATGACGGGACCTCCGAATCAACAACAGCTGCTGCACCAGCACCAACATCAGAATAGCGAGTACACTGTCTCATCAACCGATACTTATGTGGATCGGGATGACGGGTATCACGGCCCTACCACCGCCGCGCACATTCTGCGGACGACGGGGCCCGTACACCTCCCGTCCATAGCTCCGCCATCAATAAGCGTTGTTGAGGCAAGAGCTACAGCTGGCGACGTAGCTAATGAAATGCGCCGTCTTATTGGTAGCCTTAATGAGCACTTGTCGATCATCGGCGAGCAAGTCGGTAGCATGGAGCCTCGGCGCGCAGGGCGGAATAATTTCGAGGGCGCGGAGTAGCGTGAACCTGAACATTGGGTGTTCCTTTTGCAAATGGAAACTAAGATATGTCTGAAAACCCAGACAGATATACGGTACAGAGGTAAGGGAAGATTTGTTCTCCCTTCCTTGCAATGGGACACGACGGATAAGAGATCTAAATAATGATGGGGAGGGAACACTTGATATGTATATTGCATTGGTTTTTGCGTTAGCTGCTTACTGTTGAGATACCACTACTTACTGCCGCCCAGGTGTAATTCAGTTCGTTATGATAAGGATTGGTATAAATACAATAATACATGCTAATTCGATAAACCTACCCAGAGATCAACAATGAATGTTGCTAAGTGAAGAGCTTCCCTAAGGTATCACGTAGCTAACATAAATGAGTATGGGATGAAAGTACTTAGTAAGGGGTATAGCAAGATATGGTTTCACTCGAGGACTGCTTCTTAACTACCTCAGATGTTTATGTTCGAGGGGTAAGTATAAAGTCAAGAATGGTGTATTATAAATCTAATAGAGAATTTCTCGAGAATCTTTCGAAGAGAGCGCGTTTGCATCCTACGTACGTCTACGTAAAGCCTATCAAGTCTCCCATCAGAACAGCCTGGTATTTATCCACCGCCTCACGCAAGCGGATAAGAACGCCAGCGGCCAACATCTTGACCTCGTTCTCCTCGCCGCCATCGCCACCCCGCGTATTGTTGAAGACGGCGCTCACCCACTCGACACTCTCTACGACCTCGCGCCCCTGTCTCTCGCAGAGACCACGCATGTCGCCCTCGTTGACATCTAACAGGGCCACTAGTCCGAAGAGCACGGCCTGCGTGATGCTCAGATCGCCGACGCACTGCCCCCGAACGCCGAGGAGCAGATCCCAGAACTCAGATGTCATCTGGGGGAGCGCGAGCGTGCTGGGTCCCGCCGCGTGTAAGAGGATAGCTAGCGTTTTAAGGTAGAGGGCGAGTAAGTATGGCTGGAACAGAATGCCTCTCGCGGTGGCGGATGCCGAATGCATTACCGCCTGGAAACGCGAAGTTAGGGGGAAGAAGAACGACGATGCTATAAGGGAGGCTGTCGTGTTGGGTATAGCGCGTATGCACGGCTTAGCCTTGCTTTTCCCGGGATTTGAAGACTGCGACTGTAGGCGTGATGTGAACGATGAAAGCTTGAGTGCGTCTGGCCCTGTTACCGTGTCTGCTGCTTCAGCGGCTAGAGGGGCCAGGAAGGTCTGCGAGAGAGACTTGGCAAGGTTATCCAGCGCATTAGGAGGGAGGGCCTTCAAGTTATGCGCTCTAGATTCGAGCCTATTTGATGGCGAGGATGCGGCATAATACTTTTCGACTTTGGCGGGAAGCATCTTAGATGGAAATTGTGTCGTTGACCCGTATTCAGATGCTTCGAAGCCCGCTATCTCTCGACCACTAAGGCCTAAAACCATGAGTACGGATGCGCGCTGTGACAATGAATAGTCCCCATCAAAGAACGTCTTGGCGAACCACTGGCCCATCTTCTTCGGCTGTGCAACTACGATTGCAATCATTCCCTGTAGACGTAGATCATCAAAGTTTTCGAGTTCATATTTGTCTTGTAAGCCGACGAGGAGAGTAGCAAGCTCTTCCGCGTGAGAGCTAACCTCCGTTCCATAGTTCGCTTTCCTACGAATCAGAGTAGGAGCCGTCGTTAAGGCAAGCTTTTGACGGTCGTAGTTCTCTAGATCTCGAAAATAGGTGATGAGGTCGCGAACGTATACAGGAGCCTTAGGCTTGTCACGATTAATGAGTGTAGGATCATCATCTGAGTCTTCGGCGTCCGAATCAGGCTTCACATACGGCACTAGATCAGGGTCTTCATCTTCATCATCTTGAATTTCCTCGATAATAAAACCTGACTGAAGAGGCGCCTTCCCAATCCGCTGTGTGGGTGCCACTGAGGGTTTTGTTATCTTGGGGACGTTAGAGGATTTCGGTAGTATGTCCATTTCCTTTAATGGATCTAAAGGGCCAGGTTTGTCAGATAGTTGAACCAACGATTTATACCATTTCGCTTCTTCTGTATCCATCTCGTCCATCTTGAAGTCAAGTTTTGTCTCCTTGCCATGAACAAGTCCCGAGAGAGCCTCGCCAACCACCATCCCCAGGAAACGAGCACGGTTTTGCGACGCGGCAATTCGATTAGATACAGCGTTTAAGTAAACACTTGATCGTAATAGAATATTAAGCTTTATTGGCGCAAGTCTATGAACGTACCCAGCACTAAGAAGTAGTACTTGAGCATGTGCTTGTTCTTGGTTAGCTTCATCAGTAAGAAAATTGGATTAGTAGAACTAACCGTCTTGTTGGAGTAAGGGGGCATGTTTGATATATAGTTTGTCGCCGAACTGGCTTAGGCTTTTATCCAAGACGGATGCTATGAAGTCCTTATCATCGGAAAAGACGGCGACGGCAGCCCGTCTGATTCCATATCCTTCGCCAATCCCCGCACCAGATCCGCTCGTCAACCAGTTCAAGAGATGATTCTTCCGACTTTCATCGTTTCCTATTATTGCCTTCAAGACTCCAGATGCAGCTTGAATAATAGGGGCACCTTTTATCTCACTAGTGTCGTGTATAGAGCTCAGATATTTGTCCGAAAGTAGCTTCAGGGTTAAACTGAGAAGTTTCCGTTGCTCGAGAGGTGGAATGGAGCTCAACAAATCCTCAAAAGTTTCATGACTTTCGACGTTTTGAAGAAGTAACCCCGTTATTAGCGTATTGACAAGAATCTCTTGAGCGTTTGTTAGCAAAATGATTTGTTCTGCGGAAAATAGCACTCACCTGAATGCCCTAGTCGCATTCCACGTGTCAATATATCGGCGCATACTTTGAGTTCAGCTTTGTTGACCCCTGATCCAACCCATCGTACTACATTTTGAGCAAGCCAGTCGATATAAAGCTTAATATTGCTAATCCAAACATCAGCCTTCAATCGTCCGTCCTGCCGGCAAATATCCTCCGCTTCTGCTGAGAGTGAGATGATTTTCCCATTTGTAAATAATAAAACAAGCTCTTGGCGTACGAGGCGGATCTGAGTCGAATTCTCTAAAGAGCCAGTATTGCTCCATATGTACTTTATGTCATCATGTGAACGAATGAGGTGGGTGAGGAGCTCCAGGACGAAACTCAGATTGAAGCTGACCCGTGAGTCTTTTAGAGATTTCGAGTCTAGCTTAGCTTCTTTCAATAAAGTACGGAGGTGTGCTATTACAGCATTGATACCCGCAAGGCTCCGCAAGCAGGAGACTAGCAAATGAAGGTCCCCTTTACTTCGTCCCGTGGATGCATCTTTTAGCACAGCCCAAAAATTGGGAACAATCTCAGTAACCAAGACATATATGATCTGGGCGCTTTGGGGAGTTGGCTTTCGGATATCGAAGGAGTGGTCACCTCGCAAGCCCTTTTGTAAGTATTTTAATACGGATAGCAGAAGATCATAGCTTGGCTGGCTCTTAAGAGCTTCAAGAGCTTCTTCTGGGGATGAGCTATTGAACTCGGTTTGTGTTTCAGGTGCAGGTCTAGCGGGTTCAGAAATCTTGAACAGCTCATCATGCTGGCTAGATATACGGTAATTCTGGCTCACAGGAGTGAGTAGTCCTTCCATTTTGATAATCGACGGTCCTGAATGAGATGGGCCTAAATGATTGAATTATCCGGGATTATCGCTTCTTAGCATGATACGGATACTCGCTCCCTCTATTCGGAAACTACATGCTTAGGTAGTTTATTATATTTGAATAATAAAATTCGCATCTCATGATATGAACCTTTTATAGATAGGCGAATCATTAGGGATGTAGGGATGTAGGGATGTAGGGATGAGATTGAATGGAACCTTACCTGTTCATAGCTTCAGTTTGTAGGTAAACTACCTAGGTACCTAACCTAGGTACCTAACCTAGGTAGGTACTGTATATTTTAATATCCTGTGGTTATCTTAGGTAATGACTCGCTTAACAACAATAACACCCCACCTTTAGCGCCCCTTTATATTCACTATCAGCGATAAAAGATGACATCAAACCCCCCTTCGTTCTTAAGAGCTCCGAGATCCTAAGTTACCTGAGGTACCTAAAAGTAAGCTTCCTCTTTTTCGTATGTATTAGGCATCCCGCGCAACGTCCAGGAGACCACATCATGGCGGCCGCTGTAATACAAACCGGTACCTCAAGATGGCAATACTTAGACCGTATTCGAAGGACACCTGGTCCTTTCAATCAGGACTCAGACGTAAGCGAAGAAGCTCTCGCGACGCTGGACAAGACCAAGATTCTTGTTATTGGTGCTGGCGGACTCGGTTGTGAGATACTCAAGAACCTCGCCCTTTCTGGGTTTAAGGACATTCATGTCATAGATATGGGTAAGCTATTCTTTCTAAATCCCCAATACGAGGCTAACTTTCTTGCGTTTGCACCAGACACCATCGATATCTCTAATCTCAACCGCCAATTCCTCTTTCGCAAAGACGACGTAGGCAAGTTCAAAGCAGAAATCGCCGCCAAGTTCGTCGAGAAACGAGTCAAAGGTGTCAAGATTACCCCCCATAACTGCCGAATCCAAGAGTTCGACGAGGACTTTTACATGCAATTCCAGCTGGTTGTATGTGGTCTCGACAGCATCGAAGCACGGCGATGGATCAACGCGACCCTCGTGAACATGGTGGATATGGAAAACCAGGACTCTCTAAAGCCATTGATTGACGGCGGAACAGAAGGTAGCATTTCCTCGCATCATATTTCTAGGGACCTGTGGCAATCTAACCGAGGTTAGGATTCAAGGGCCAAACTAGGGTCGTATTCCCAACCCTCACACCGTGTATCGAGTGCCAGCTAGACCTCTATACTCCAAGAGCGGCCGTACCACTTTGTACATTAGCCACCATCCCCCGCCAGCCCGAACACTGCATAGAGTGGGCTCATATTATTGCATGGGAGCAGGAGAAACCGTTCCCAAGCTTAGACAAGGACGACCCCGAGCATATCACATGGCTATATCGTAAAGCCCTCACACGGGCCCAGGAATTTGGCATCACAGGTGTTACCTACTCACTCACCCAGGGCGTTGTCAAAAACATTATACCAGCAATAGCGTCCACTAACGCTATCATTGCTGCGAGCTGCTGCAACGAGGCTTTGAAGATAGCCACCGCAGCCGCGCCCGCCCTCGGGTTTGAGGAGAGCTACATGATGTATTCCGGCGATGACAGCATCTACACGAATACTTTCAAGTACGACAAGAAAGAGGACTGCGCTGTGTGTGGTGAAGTGGCCAAGCCGCTAGAAGTTGACCCTAATTGGACACTGAGGGAACTCCTTGACTCCTTTTCCACAAAGGCTGATCTCCAGTTGAAGAAGCCCTCAATCAGAGCCGAGGGCAAGACGTTATATATGCAATTCCCACCAAGCATCGAAGAGCAAACCCGATCAAACTTGGACAAGACTCTGAAGGAAGGTTTGGGGCTGGACGTAAATCACGAAGTTGCCGTGACGGATCCGGCATTCCCAGCACTGACTTTTAGGTTCATTTTACGTTTCGCATAAGCAAAGGTGTTATAGGAGCATGATACCACAGTCTCTCGGGAGGACTTTACTGCGCTTGTTTAGTTGGCCAACCTTGCTATAAAAGTTGATTCTCCCCAATCATACGCATAGACATGTTCGTACTAGTCACGGGTAAAGATACAACCGTTTTACTCAAGCAAGTTTACTCAAGCAAGGATCCTTACTGAGTTTTCAAAGGGTATAAAGTCACTTTATAAACATAGTTTCAGGAGACGTGCTCCGCCACGTCAGCTAGTAGTCCAATTCTCTAAGGTAGCTCCTAAACCGACCGCTTGCGTTGTTTATAGCTACCTTAGATACCTATAGGTAAACGAATTCCATGTCTTACAAATTGTTGCAGTTTGAAACCAGACCTATCTTCTGTCCATGTAAGTCACCCCATAGGTTTTACTCTTTCGACGCATATTCTACGGGGGAGGGTTGATACATGACACGATCATATTCTCTTTAGGTATTCCTCCCTTTATTCAGTTTAATTTAGGGTCACGACTACAAGATATAAATATTGAGTTAATAGCCACCATGTTATTCTATCATCTAGCATAGCACGCCATAGATATCGTACATACCAAAAACCCTGATTTCAAGTTATAATACATATTCACTACTCGTCGTTCTTAACAATAAGTAAACAGCCATGCATCACTCCAATCAATACGGTTCATTACTCTCGGAAGACATGCCACAACGAACACCGGATGATATTCTTTTTAATAATCAGGTATATCAACATCACCAAGGAACAAGATATCGTTGGAGTGAGCAACAGTCTCAGATATTTCAGGACTATGTCCAAGAATTTCCAAACGACTACGTATGGAATATCAACATACTTCTGGAGAGACTAGATCTTCATGGCTATGGGGGAATTGAGACCAAGCAAGGCCTCGATTTCGAGGGGAAGATATTGATTCCAAAAGTGTTGCAGAAGATTATAAACGTTGTTCGTGATCTCGAAGAAAGCAATCATAGAGGTAATCAGTAAGTATTCTATGAACCAACCATTATGACCTTTTCCGGCTACTTAAAACTATGTACAATGTACAATGAGACAACTTCAAAAGCTGATTCCTGTTCTAGACGCACTCTACATAACCAAAACTCGTACTCATCTACTCAAACGGATCATCGCTATCCACCCTGGCATATTTCAAATCCCTCCGAGGAGAATACTGAGCCCTATCTTAGCTATTATAACGCGGTTAAAATAGAGGACAACGAGCATCCCGAAACTACAGTTCCACAGTCATTACTCCTCGACACACAATCTCCTCCAAGTCAGGACCTACATAGGATCGATGAGCTCGTGGGCATGGTACGCTTACTTCAGGAACAAGTAAATAACATAGAGAATACTATAAATGCAATAGCCGACCAAGTAGCCGACGCTTTGGGGTTGCAATAGTTACGTCGGACAATGGCCGTGCGCATCGGTAGAATTATAAAAGGAAGAGACAAAAAAGGGGGGAGAAACATTATCTTTTTTTTGTATTAACAAGGTTGATCCACCGAGTTCATTAGGTTGTCTTTGGGTGTCGCTCGTTTTCGGTTGGTCATTCATTCTCTATAATTAATAAATATTTAAATATGCTCAGAGTTCCAATGACTAGTTTAAACCCCTTGATGATTTATTTACAGTATTAGTATCTTGTTACATTGTATGAATACCTATCACAATAGTTACAACTTACCTAAGATACCTAGGTAACTAATAATAGACTCAACTTCCTTACCGTCTATACTTATGAGAATGCCGAAGATTGGAATAAAACAGGTTGAAGAGGGCGGGTAAATAATCTGACAAACATAATTCAGTTATTCCGTCGACATTAACAAGATGAGCATAACTTCCTAGCATCCTAAAGCCTTAGTTTAGGTGATGGATACTAAGTCATGCTGTACAACGCAAGCTTGCCAACGATAATTGGTTGGCATAGCCCCAGACAGAGTCCGTGCTAGGTCGTATTACAGGTATTATAATTATTAATTGACTCCTGAAAAGATCAACGACTAAGCTTAGGTAATCTTGTAGTTCTCTTGTAGTTCGTAATACCAACTCGATGGCTATCACAACAAGTCCTACGACGGCTACCCCGAGTATAACGGTGGGTCAAGCGTAGGCTGATATAAAACATTTGGACGAAGATGCTTACATACGGAAGTACGAAGCGATACCGGTAGCAGGTTATCTTAGGTCGCGATAGGTTTGATCAAGCATTAAGGAGATGGTTGGCGTACCAAAGAGTAACAGGTGCGACTTTTGTAGGTGGCGGAAGACCAAGGTGCGTGCGTTTTTCAGCTATTCAGCTGCACCAATTGTACGAGCACCAAGTTATTTATTGGCTACCTAACTTACATCTCGCCGGTAGTGTGACGAAGCTTAGCCAACCTGCGGAAGCTGCAGAAAGGCAGGCAAGGAATGTTCCGGCCCATCAAAACAAGTCAAGTTCGTACATGGTGGAAGATATACTCGTCGAGATAAACATGAAGATGGCTAAGCTGAAAATAATGCGGTTACAAGTCAGATAAATGATCTAGCTGATATCAACATAGCATTTATTTGACTACTCAAAAGGCATCGATCAGATATCTCACTGCAATGGGATAAGTCAAACCACCCTTACTGGGGCCACCCTAGTGGGGGCCACCCATTTCCCATACAAAATCAACAACTTCGCATGTCTATAATTAATTCAA